AGATAGCTATTTAAACACTCTTACCGAAGAGGGAAAAAGCTGCCTTGGGAGAGCACATGGAAAATGCAGGCCGAAGCAGCTGCTCTTTCCTCAGCACAGCTCTGATGGGGAAAACAGGATGCCAAAAACCTGTCCTGGCGTGCAAGCACACAGGGATGCTTTGGAGAGAGAAGTTGGAGACCACTGAGCTAACAAAGAGAAATTCTCTTGGATGCCCTGCACGCAAACACCTTTCTGCTGGATGCTCTATCTGTGTTTTGGTTTAGTAGAGCAGAGCCCCCAGTTAAATAGCTGTAGAAATGAGAAATCTGGCATCCACATCCTCCGCAGCTTTTCTCATCATCAACCTGTGCCCTCCTAACCAGAGGCTCAATTTAATTACAAAAGCTGTGCTACGCTCAGCTGCCAAAAACGCAGTCAGAAGCCCCAGACCATTTTCCTGGTGGCAGGTGAAGCAGCTCTCTCTCTTTGCGGTGTCAACAAGCATCTATCAAACCAGCCCCTCTCCCAATGTTCCTTCCCTTTGTGCTCCAGCTGAAGCTCTCTCCTACCTGCTTGAAGGCAATCAGCTCTGTGGAGTAGTTTCCTAAAGCACAAAGCAAATTGGAAGCTGCCTGCACTCTGGTGAGATTTGTTCATTCCTCCCCGTTTTCCAGGGGGACTCACAGCTCGCCCAGGAGCAAGGAGACGCTGGCACGGTGACTGCTCAGAGCTCGAGGACCTGGCACCAACACCTCTGGTAGCTGCCCCCTGGAGCCTCGAGCAGAAGGAACCCACCTCACCTGCTGATGCTCTCATGCACGAGCTCTTGTGGCACCTGGAAAGCATCCACATTCTTCATTTCCTTCAGGGTCATCCCTACAGAGCTTACAGATCTCCAGAAACCATTCCAGATTAATCGCTTCTCTGGCCATTTTCCAACACATGCCCACATCGGCAGGCTCGGGCAGGCATCCTCTGGTTCTCAGGGATGTCACTGAGCCCCCGTAGGGGTCACAACAGCCTGCGAGGGACCTGCAGGGGTCCCAGCAGCACCTCAGCCTGTCCCAGCCTTACCAGCGATCAGCTGCACTGCCCCAGGACTGCCCCAGCAGCCGGAGAGCACGGCATGGGCATGAGCGTGGGCGACAGCAGCTCTTCGGATGGCACCAGCCAACGCCTCCGCCCTGGGAAAGAAAGTTGTCAGAGCTGCTATTTTCCCAGCAGTAACAGCTGCATTTTGGTTCTTTTACAGCAGGGCACCAGCTCCCCGATGCAGGAAGCAATCCGTATGATAATCTACTCTTCAGAAGTGTTTTGCTTTGCATTAGTGGAAAACGGGCCAGAAACGGTGACCTCAAATAACGAAATCACTGGGTAATGCCAGTGTGTTACACACGCTTCAAAACACAAACTGCATCACTCAGCGAGCGGCACAGAAGCAGGGTGCATTTTCATCAGCACAACCGAGCTGTCCCTGCTCTGATTTTCATCAGTTCTTGGAGCATCCAAGCCAAAGATGGGGAAATCTTTCTGTGGGCATTTCTTCTTGTGCTGGCTCAGTGCCACAGCCTCAGCTGGGCAATCTAATTCCATCTAAACACCAACCCAAGAGCTGCCGTGACACCCTCAGCCCACATCTGTATTTTCCCACATGCCTGAAGTCCAGATTTTATTTTCTTTAGGAAATTCTCACTCGTTCTCCTGACTGAATCCCTGCTGCACTCTCACGGACAGCAACACTTCTGATGACTTTACCAGATCAGAGCTGGCGCCACGTGATGATGATTACAGAAGGGAAGCTCTGTGGTTAACCTCCAGCCATAACTCAACACGACTCACCCCCAGCACGGCCGCAGTCCACACGAAGCCTTTCAGCAGCATTCGGATCAGGGGAACGCTTCCAGCTTTTGGCAAAATCCTAGAACCACATTTCACGCAAGCCAAAGTAAACGAAGGATGTGAATTCAAGGGCTTGTGATGTTTCACCACGGGGATGGAAGGGAGTCTGCTGTCACTCACTGAGAATCTCCTATCCCTTATATGCAGAGGAGACCTGCCCAAAATCCCTATTTCACTCTGCTACCACGCAAGTGACCGACCCAGAGCAAGCTCCCGACCTTTCCACGTCCCAGTCTCTCCCCTTACAACACAGCAGTGGACATCAGGCTCTTCCATCCATGCCCAAGTCCCAAATACAAAAGTGACCTGATTTCCAGGAGTCCTGAGCACCACAAATCCCCATTGAAATCAAGGATAGCAACAAGATTCAGCACCTCTGAAAACGAGGACATGCACACTCCGAGGTGGCTAGGCACAGATTTAGAAGCGAGTTTGAAAATCTGGCCTGCTAATTTTACTTTCCAACAAACTGCTTCTTATTTATAGCTCAGACTGTATCAAGTATAGCACGTAGTATCCACCCAGGAACTGGGGTGAAAGGCAAGAACGAGGACAAAAAATGCAAGAGGAATTGAAGAGGCTTCAAAAGAGAGAGGGGGAGGGCGAGCGGTGATTTTCTCCAAGCAAACTTACCCTGGATATTTGGGAAGAGGGACAGCGTAACACAAAGGCAGGGTAACGGACCAGCAGCGAGGGGCTGCTGGCAGAACTCGGAGCCACACATCACCTGGTAACTCACCAAATGTTATCCAAAAGGTGATTTTAATCTAGGAATGCAGGAACTGGAGACCTGCGGTCCTCTTTTGCCCATCTACAACCTGATACCAAAAAGCCTACAAAGTCCAAAATAACTACGTAACTTTTGTTATTTCTTTATTTTATTTTATAAAAGTCTGCCTTAAGGGAAGGAGAAATAAATATGGGTGAGCAGACACCTTTATGATGCCCACCAAAGTCTCGGATCTTGAGCAGCCAGCTTGCAGGAGGAGGTTGAGCTGGGTCTTGCTTCTTGGGAAGCGCGCTAACTGCTGTGCTACGATGCAGGTACGCACCCTGACTCTCCTCCCCAACATGATTTTGAAGCAAAATATTGTGCTGTGCGTAAAGCACCCTGCTGTGAGACGAGCAGGCATGGCCCTGCCCACCACATAGGTGCTGGCTGGCCCAAGGGAAGAGCCTGCAGAGCGTTATTTGGTGTACTAGCCCTGGAGTCACCCAGCAGCAGATCTGAAGCCTCTAGGAAGCTCTGCTGGTGAAACCGCTCCTTACAAACCTGGGTGAGGCTTTGGAGGAATCCCTGCATGGGTCTTACACATCCTGCATTCCCCATAAGTCTCATTTCTAGGTCCAGGCCTGAGGGAACATCTTACACAGCCCACGTGAGATGAACTTTGGACCCTGTGCCCAAAACCAGCATTTTGCCCTCAGGCCTTCCTTTCCCTTGCAAGACGAAGCTGGAAGAAATATTTCATGTAAACCACATTTAAAAAGCATCGACCATTTATCATGTGGAATTACGATCAGGTGTAATTTAAAATAAACAGATATCTATAAGCAACTAAGCTTAACATTTGGCTAACTGCAATTCTCTGCAGCTCACTCACAGCCCCACAGCAGTATCAAATTCAGGAACAACCATCTCTCTCTTTTTCTATCTTCTTTGACATTTAGTTTTTCTAAATCTTCTAGTTTTTCCAAATATCCTAGTTTTTCTTTTTCTTTTTTATTTTATTTTCTTGGAGGTTTTTATTTTCTTTGACATTTAGTAGCCAAGTACCCCAGGAACTATAAGCATAACAGCGCCTGATCTGTCTTTCCAGAGGCTCCTGTGCTCCAAAATTTATTCCCCTACCCACTGACATCTGCATTTCTGCCTGGGTGAACCCTGGTGTATCTCAGGAGAGCCCGGAGCTCCCTCTTGTGTCACCAAAGCACTGCAGGTACTTGCACCCATCAACACCACAGCCACCCCCTGCGCCTGGACACCTCACCTCCGAGCCCAAGCTCATCCCGCTTGCGCCATAAATTCACTTGAAACCTGCAGTGCCTCTGGCTCGAGCTGCAGCCTCCTATTTTTCATGCCTTCTGCTTGCACACGGCGCTTCCCAGGCTGCAAGGTCACAGAACAAAATCTCAGGGCGGCATCGAAGGGAGCCGGGTGAGCAGATGAAGTCAGCTTCCCGCAGTGCTCTCCAGGGCAGACACTGTACCCGGGTGTGTTTGCAGGAGGATGAGAGGAGCCTGCAGTGGCACGCTGCTGAAATTCTGCACCTGATGGAGCTGCTGGGTTGGAGGTTTCAAAGTACATTTTAAGTCAATCAGAGAATAGTGGGTTTTACAGTTTAGGAGCTTAAATTATTCAGTGCTCCAAAGAATGGAGCTTTTTTTTTCTTTTTTATGAGTTAGGAACAAAGTCAGGAAGGAAGAAATCAAATAGAGAATGATGCCCCAAAACGCATTTATCTGAAGGGAAGCAGGTTAAGCATCCTACATCTTGCAGAGGAGAGCTGTCACGTTACCTGACCACAGCCACAGCAAGACTGCGTTTTCACTGGCACTCTCCCACAGATGCTTTTCACATATTGTCCCTCTCTAATATTCCTCTTCAGATTCAGGGCAAGCGAAGGACCAGCTGAATCAGAGCCAAGATGCATTTGTATCCATTCTTGCCCATTTCCTCCTGGTTTCTATCACCAATTAAGTGTTACCGTTATGTATTAAATGGAATTAGCTTGTTGTCGAAAGGCAGCGACAGGAGGAGCAGAGATTTATGCGCTGGGCTGCTTTCTGCTCAGCAGCTTGGCTCTGATGGATGTTAGCAGGCATTGGTCACCATCAAACGAACCTACCTGAACCACGCAGGTAATGAACCCTGCCGTAGGAAACTCCTTCTCAAGGTGACCCCATCACAGCCACCAGGATCCAGAGGGATCACGGTGCCAAATATACGTGAGACTCAGTAGCTGGCGAGGTTCCTGCCTTTGGTCTCTGCACCCTGAGGACTTTAAGGCTGTCTGCAGGCACGCACGCAGGGCACAGGCTCCTGCCCACCTGAGCAGGGATGGGGAACACCTGGAGGAGATTTGGGTCCACACAAACATCGCCCTACACACACCTCCTGCCTTCACCCCGAGTCTCCCCCTCGTGCAGAGATGAGCCTGGCTCCAGCTGACAAAGCGACCTCACTACAAGGCTGAGCTTTCCCCTGATGTACACCACAACATTTTGCTCCATCCTCTAGAAGCTCTTCACAAACAGGAATTATTTTTGCCAACTCTCTATTCCCATAAGCTGTTTGTTACGCTTTTGGAGCACTCGGAAATTTCATCTTATTTCCAGGGGTTTATCACCTTCCAAAACTGCTCCCTCCCAAGCCATTATTTCTCACCCTGGCATTCAGCCTGGAGGTGAGTTTCTTTAGAGAGTTGAAGTAGAACCCATTCAATATTTTATGGCAATCAGCATACACAGGAGCATGATCTCCTAATGACACACTTAATGCAAAACTGCGCTCTTTGTTTTGCTTTAAGGGATGCCTGTCACAGAAGACCGAACGCCTGGATGGGATTTTTGGTGAAAGCAGGATCGAGACCTTGAGCTGGGCAACATCAGGAGCCGGGGACGTGCGGCTGCAGCACCACCTCTGGCTCTCTCCCTTCGGTAGATTAATTTCATCCCTATGCAGCAGCACACCAGAAGCAAACTGACGCATGCTCAGAAAAACGCTACAGAGTGGGAAGAGACGGCTTCTCCTCCAGGAAAGCTTCTAGTTTTTATGCCAAATTTTATCCCTATTTTCCTGGGAACGACCTGTGTACACACACAGGGGGTTGGGGTCTTTCAAACGTATACTCATGCAGGAGGTAAGTGCAGCCAGGGGGACGCAGCTACAGTTTGCTCTGGGAATCCTAACCGAATTCCCCGACTTCTGAGTCAATTTAAGATTTTTAATTGCTGCAAAGGAGGCTGTTGGGTTTCTTTCCCTCAATCATTTTAATGGAAGATTCTAACTTCCCCAGAATCTCAGGAGGTTGGGTAATTATTTACCTTCCCTCTTCCCTTTAGGAAATTTCAAAGGGTGATTTTTTACTCTCTTTGCATAGGGCTTAGAGTCTGAGCAAGGGAACTGCTGTAAATTGATAGCTAGTGTTAATTATTCATACGCCGTGTTAAAACCCTCTCGAGTACTCAGCAGAAATTGAAAATTAAATTATAAGTTTGGTTACTTTCAGATTTAGGACTTCTTACTGGACATTTACCACCAAGAATACCCCATGGCAACTGCCTGGCACTGAAGCTGTGCAGACACAGAGGGACCCAGAGCCAAGTCTGGCTTTGCACAAGGGCTGAGCACAAACCCTGCAACTCACCTAGGGCAGAGCCAGCTCTGCACAGGCTTCTTTGAAGGCTGAGGGTCCTTGGGAGATAATTAGTGGGATGGTTTTGAGCAAATCTATAGGGCAATGCAATTTGGACAGCTGAGTTTGGACATTTGGGCCAAACTCCTGAGTGCACAAGTCTCACTAAGGGGACGGTGACACGATTAGTTTCACAGATGCCACACTTCGTGCTCCTGAGGCAAACTCAGCTCTTACAGACTTTGTTTTACCTTGCCACCAGCTCCTCCTAGCTTTGTAGGACAGCTCATGGTGGTGACCACGGCTGAGAGGGGAGCACGAGAGGGCTCAGCAGCTGCACCACGCTCACAGCTCCTCTCTCCTGTGATGGATCCCTGCTGCAATCCAAGCCAGAGCCAGACCGAGCCTCTAAGCAGCAACTGCAACGCATACTGCAAGCAGCTCTTCTAAAAACCCTGCCTGCATCAGCCATACACGTCCCCCATATAGTGAGTGAAGAGCTGCGAGTACTTAAAAAAAAATTTAAAAAAAGTCAGTGGGAGAGGTAATTCTTCAAAGCTACAGCCCCAGGAAAGAATCACATGAAACATGGCTAGCAGGACACCTCCAGAGGTCACCTCATCCATTTCTCTATCACAGTGAAGGATCCAGGAGGATGTGTGCCTGTTAAAAACTCCCCTAATGACTCCACAATGGGCTCGAGAGATTCTCTGCCTTTAACAGCGAGCACAGCCCTGCCTGAAGCAGTTGAAGCCCATTAGTTCCTGTCCTGTTCGAGGGGCCACCAAAACTAATGTGGGCTGGGAGAGCCCGTGAGCTTTTCCAGCCTTGCTGTCTGCCCTAAAGCCTCTCTATGCTCTGTGCTGCGGAGTTGGCAGTGGCTCAGAGCCGTGGTAATTTGGTAATTCTCCCAGGAATGGCCACAGGCACGTTACAGCTCTTCCCCTGGCAGCAGCGAGTGGCCGACTGTGAGCACGTTGCCTTTGGGCTTGAAAAAGATGGGTGTCACGGTCACACGTTGGGTTTTGTGGGTAAAATCCCGGAGGGAAACTACTGCTTTACACAAGCAGATATGGCATTGAGATTTATGTAGCACAGCTCATCCTAAAAGGGCTTTCCCTGTGAATTAATTGATGGGAGAGGGACACACGCCAAGCAGAACTTACCCAGCTGAGAGGTGGATCTCCCTGCACAGAAGCCAGCCCTACAGACAGCGAGGAGCCTGCGCTGGTTTTACATAGGAAACATCATTAGTGCTTGAAGGAAGAAGGGTTGCTACACTTCCCATCAGTTCTCTTTGCTATCTGGTTGCAGGCTGCTTGCACAAGGCCTGGGGGTGGCACCACCCCATCCCTCTCCTCACTGGCAGCAACAGGAGATGCTACCTCTACGCTACCCCTTCTGGATCAAGGCTGGAAGGGAGTCCAGGGAATCCCATCTTTGCTTTGTGCACCTGATTAGAAGCAGAAAGATCCCTCTTCATTTATGGACGACATCCAGAGACACCATGTTCGTGCTTCTCACAAAGCAGGTGGCTTATCCTAACTCTCTCCACCGTCCCCCTCCCCGGCCCCATGATAATACACACAAATAAATCCCCAGAGGCAACCCATGGGCACACAGGGGCTCGAGCTGCTCCTTAGCTTTGTGAGCACAGATGCCCTGATGGCCACAGGACCTAAATTAGGCATCTGTGGTAAGCAGCCTACGTGAGACCTCCTGCTGGCTTTGCTGGCATTTTGGGAACCAAAGTCTGTGTTGTTTTCCTTCCAGCTTTCCAGAGAAAGAAGCACTGGTGCTTACAGCCTGTCTAAAAGCCACCTCCTCTGGTGGTGGTGGCTTTCTTGGCCCCAGGGGCCTGGTTCAAAAGCTTTTCAGTGTCTGGGTTCATTGGCTTCACTCACCTCTAGGCAAAGTGTGCATCAGGGGTGCATGAAATGGTGCCAGGATAGAAAAGTGCAACGCTCTGCGTGGTTTTGGAACAGGTGTCCCAAATATCAGCTACCAGAGAATGAGACTCCAGACTCGATTAGTTTTAGTCATTTAGGTTTTGTACCTGTGCTAAAAATAAATAAATAAATAAAAGAAAAAAGGCGCCTCTGCACCACTGAAGGTGATGGAATTTCTACATTTCCATCGTTCACCTTGCTGCTTTTAGGACTTCGACCCCACATATCCTCTCCTGCCAACCAGCGTATCGCAGCAAGCAACATGCTCCCAAACCCCAGCCTGTTTTTTGATTCTGCTTTTCAGTAAGCTTTGGGAGTAGGAGGAAAGGCAAAAGGGCTTGGCTACAACCCACCCAGTGGTCAGAAGGACAGCCAGGCTGTCCTGGGGCACTCAAAAGCCCCATCACGAGGGCTCTGTGCCTGCTTTGAAGCAGCCTCCCAGGGCGATGTGGGCAGTAGAGCCCCGCAGCACCATCGGGGCTGGATCTCTCTGTCTCTTTTCTGATCTTCCTAGAAAACACAAGGGGTGAAATGCTTTAGGGCAAGACACGTCAAAGCCAAGCCTTCTTCTGTGAAAAAGATCCACGAAGCTCCTTTTACCTGTTTGTATTACAGGATGCAACCACGACCATGCCTGGCACTGCAGCTGTACTGGGAGCAGCTGGTTCCCAGCCTGGGGAGGCTGGGATACAAGAGAAGTACCTAACAGGAGGGATAACTAGCTTTGTTTCACAGAGGAGGGAGGCAACACGGCCAGAAATTAAGCTTTGTGCACCCCCAGTGATAACCACACACTTGTGAACCCCCTAAAGGCCTGGAGGCAAACCACCCTGGCCCTCCGCACTGCCACCCCGTGTGCCTCATGGCAGGGAAGAGGGAATCACTGATGCTGCTGTTCAGTATTGAGAGGGAATACACACGCCCTAGAAGACTCCAGAAACTCTAATTACAACATCCTTTTCCAAAAAAACAACCAAATATAAGTAGCTTGTATTAGACACAATAAAACCCTCTAAGCTGGAGGCATCACCGAGATAACGTGACCGCCCTCATTAGGAACACATCAGCAGGTAGCTTTCCAAGCAAGGATTTTTTCACAAACGTTTCAAGATGTATTTCCCAAGGCAGGGTTTGTTATAAGCAGCTGATCTGGGGCCTGTGCATTTTGAAAGCCAAAGCAGGCCCGGCTTTCAGAAGAAAACGGGACCTCCGCTCTGAAAAAAGAAGCGGTCCTTAAAGCATAACACCCCAAAACCACCCAGCAAAACAACCCAGCAATGAGGAGCGCAATGAGGAACTGAGATTTTGATGCTTTGAGGGAGCACCAGCTGCTGTGGGACCTACACCTAACCAGATGCATGACCGTGTGTCCCATTTACCTGCAGAGCAGCCGGGCTCTTTCTCAGAGCTGAGCGATGAGCTTGCCTCTGAGTATTGGGTGACAGGTTACAGGACTTGCTGTGGGAGCTCAGAGATGAGATTTTTAAGCAGAGATCTGGGAAACCAGCAGAAAGGACGTGGCTGCTTGGAAATTGCCTCCCTATGGGCAACAGGCAGCAGAGGTGGCAGTGTGAGGGTGCTTTGTGAGGCTGCTTTAACAGGGCAACGAAGAGCAGCCCTGCAGAGCAAAGAGAGAAAGGAGATCGCAGGCAGGACACGGCTAGGTCAGCAGAGCCCTTACAAAGGCAGGCACATGATTTGTGTCTGAGGCAGGGGGGAAAAAAGGAGGTAAAAAGGACACAGATACCATGGCTGCACCGCTCCAGGACGGTGCACCTTACAGCAGCGTTTGGAAGGGCACAGAGGGGGCAGAGGGGAATGGGCATACACAGGGATGCGTCAGGACTGTCCAAGGACTTAGCTCACATTTGAGCCAGAGAAGACAAGAGTGGCACTGCAGCAGCTGCTGCAGCTGGATTTTCCTATTCACACAGATTTCTCCAGCTATCTTTCCACTTGCAGAGCCGTAACGGTGATGGATTTCACCTCCAGACATTTAATTTGTGTCCAAGGTTAGTCACGTTCTGTACTGTTTGTGTTTCTCTCCCATTGCTGCTTGCCTTGGCAGCACAGGACATTTCTGTACCTTCACGTGCTTCCCAGCTTCCTGCAGCTTATTTGTTCCTGGGGGACAAAACACCGACGTATCCGGCATCTCGTGACTGCTTTCTGCATATTTTTCTCTGACTAATCTGAAGTTGAATCCAGCTGAAGACAAAATCACAGGTCTGACCCGGCGTGCCGTGCTGTCCACCCCGCAGTTAGAGCTCCTGGTCTCCATCTGCAACTCGGAAGCGAAAAATAGCGACAAGTCCTCACCTGCACTGCAGAGTCCCCACACAGTCCGACCCCGGCTCCGGCTGCACCGTGCATCTCTGCTGTCACAGAACAGCCACGGAGTGGCAGACGAGGTATCCCGAGAGCACATCACAACAACCCCAGGCAGCTGACAGCCTCACAGCAACGTGGCTGTGGCACACATCTCCCTGCCCGCAGCCTGGGAGAGGAGACAGCAGCGTCCCAGCTTCTTGTGCTAAAAGGGATCGTTGGCAGCCCTGGGACAACAAAATATTGCAAAAACACTGGCCAGCCAGGCATCCGGTGCATAACTTTGTGAAGCCAACAAGAAACACCTCCACTGTAATGAAACAGGGATGAGTTCCCACGGGGAGACAAGTGTTGAGGGCAGCATCCCGCGAACCCCCAGCTAGCTGAGATGCACCAGCTGTGTCCTCCAGAGAGCAAAAGGCAAAGATGATCTCCAAGGAAGGCTCACAAGCAGCCATCAGCAATTCTCTGAAGGCTCACTGCTCCCCACGGTACTGGGGGATGATTTCTGGCTGCCCTTGCTGCTGTCACCCTGGCCAGCAGTCCCCCTATGTCCCACCGCCCGCCTCCATCCTGCAACTCCACACAAATCCACTGCCAGCTGCACGCTGCCACCCTGTTTGTGTTGCTAAAGCCACATGTCTGGCCCAAAAGCCACAGGCTGGCCGTGCTAATTGCAGGATCCAGCCTTAAATAAAGCCCTGAGCAGAACTGGGCCTCTTTTCCCTATCACACCGAAGGGGAATTAGACATCTAAGCCCATAACCCGAATAGCCTGGCTCTTCACCTGGAGTCAGCGCAAAGAGCTGCCTTCAAATAAAAGCCACATTATCTTCTGGGAAATATCCGTGCCATAATATGCATGAGCCAGAAATAGACACTTCAGGAGAAGAGAAACTGCCTCTGGAAACAGCCAGCTGCCTTCAGTCCACTGCTCCAGCTCTCCTGTAGCTCTCCGTTTGGACTTCCCTGCTCAGCTGTCCCAAAGTGATAAAAACACGCTAGGATGTGCATCTGACCAAACACACTTCGTTACTTTATATTCTTTAAATCACTCGACTCTAAACATTAGGAGAGCTGCAGGACGTGTTACCTAGCCCACGTTTCAGCACTTGTCTCTCAATGGGGATTTAATAGATGCCTGAACTTCCCATTTCAAGTCACATAAACAGAATGAGAGGATACAGGCTGCTCGTTTTGACACAGCAACCAGAAAAACGCCAGCGAAGAGCCAGATTGCAAATGTCAAAACAAGCGATTGGCTTTGAAATATGGGGAGAAGATCCTTCTAATGATCCTAGCAGCTTAAACGCTTATGCAATGCGAAAAACAAGGCACCAAAAGCACCCTCCAACTGTCCTTCATTTAGCGGGATGATGGCAGATGTGCTGTGCCTACAAAATGTCTCCTTGTTCCAGTCAGGTGAGAAAGCAGCATGCTTACAAAAGGTACTATGGTCTGGAGCTTGCGAGGATTTTGTTTAAGTATCTACCTCTGCTACAGAAGCCCTCGTGACCTTGTCTTAACACATTCACCTCTCTGCAACTTCCTTGTCC